CCGCTCCCAACCTAAAAATAGGCAAGAAGGCCGGGGGGTGACCCAGCGTGGCCCCGCGGCGGCTTCCTCGTCGATCACCGCTGCCACCCGCCTCCAAGCTGTAAAGCGCTCAAAGACCCTGCCTGCCTGAGCTGGGTCGCGCAGACCCCAACCAGGAAGGGGAGAGGGCGAGGCCGGGCCTCCCCTCCTCCAAGCCCCGGCCGCGAGGGTCACCGCGGCCCTGGGAACGTCGGGATGGACCCGGGACGGACCCAGGACGCGACTCGACCTCTGCCCGGCCCCGGATCTTCCCCGGTGCCCCCTTTCCTGGCAGGGACCGCGCGGCTGGCGGAGGCCACGCCCCGTGCCCCGGCCGTACCTGCGTCGCTGCTTCGGCGCCCCGGCCGGGGGATGCAGGGGGCCGCTTGGGCCGCGCCACTGGGCCGCCTGGAAGTGGAACGTGGAGGACCTAGGAGCCGAACGCCGAGGCCGGGGTCGGCCGAGAGCCCGGCGCTCGCAGACGGGCAGGCCTCGGCTCCAATCGGAGCGCTCGAGGTCCGCGCCCTCGTGCCACCCTGAGGCCGCCTCGGCCAATGGCGGCCGTGCGCTCCTCGGGGCGGAGCTCCCCGGCGCGCTCCGTCTTAAAGAAGCAAGGCAGCGCTCCCGGCCGTGGCTAGGAAAGACGCGAGCCTTTTGCGGGCCGGGCACACACCCAGTGGGGCCCTTGGTCACTGTGGTCTGCAGCCGCCTCTCGCGTGAAGGGAACACCAGCCCTGTCACCTACCGGAGCCACCATGTGCCGGCCCGGGGACGCCTCCCTCGGGGGGCGAGCGGGCACGTAACCGCGCACCCGGGGGTCGCCTCCGAGCGGGGACGCCGAGGAACGCGGGCGCTGCCCCCAAGCGAGCGTCTCCCGGAAGGAGGCCCGAGGCTCGGAACGAGGACCTGGGCGTCCTGTTGCCGCTTCCCCCGCGCGCCCGAGCCTGGGCCCGAACCACCGGGGTCCTGGGCGGCGGCCAGCTAAGGGGACAGAGCCGCGGGCCGAGAAGGCCCTGCGGGGCACAGGCGCACCGTGCTCTTCGAGGCCCCGCGCCCCACGGGCTGGCCCCGGGCGCGTCCGGAACTGAGGGCCCGGCAGCCGCGGGCTGAGGGGTGGGGCCGGCGCGCTCCCCTCCCCGCCGGCTCCGCGCTCCCCGCCCCGCCCCGCCCCGCCGGCAGCCCGCTCCCCGCTCCCAGCAGCCGAGCGCCGCCATGGAGGCCACCGGGGTGTTGCCGTTCGTGCGCGGCATAGATCTCAGCGGCAACGACTTCAAGGTGAGCCTCGGGACGGCGGACGGGCCCCCCAACCCGCCCATCCGCTTCCTACGCGCCCGGGACCGCGGACGGGCTCTCCCGGGCCCCGCCCCGAACCGACCCCCCTAGGTCTCCGTCTGGCGCCCGCGAAGGAGACCCAGGGCGGGCCGGGCGGGCGCACGCGGGGTCTCGGAGCCGTTTCGGGGTGCGTGGGGAACCCCCACCGGGCCCCTGCCTGGCGCATGGCCCCGCCCGTCCAGCTGGTGGCCCGGGTCGGAGCTCTTGCTCCCGCCTCCCCAGCTCTCCCTCCCCTCCCCTGTGACGTCACACGCCCAAGCCGGGCCCTGACTCACGGCCGCGCCGCCGGCTCTGCCCTGCCCCCGCCTGCCACCCCCATCTTGTGTGGCCTTGGGCAAGTCACTTCCCCTCCTCGAGCCTCGCTTTCTCGTCCGGTGAAGGGGCTTAAAACTAGTCCTCTGGAGGCAGGGGTTAGTTGCTGTGGAGAGGTTGGTGTCGAGCAGCTGGGCGAGGGCCTGGGTGGCAGTTGTCGGAGCAGCTGCTGGACTGATTGACCCGAGCCACCAGGAACCCGAGCCCAGCCCTCCAGCCAGTGGGGGGACTGGGGGGCACAGTGGTTCTGGAGGCCCGAGAATGAGACTGGCAGGGTTAGGGCTGGTGACCAGAGACGAGGCCCTGAGAGTTGGCCTGGCTCCTGGAGGGTGGTCCAGGCTGCAGGGTGGGGTGTGGGCAGGCTCAGGCTGGGGGCAGTGTAGTGTGATCTTGGGTCGGCAGCGTCCGGCGGCCCCGGCTGTAGCTGGGGTCAGGGGTTGGGCCAGGGCCGAGGAGTCAGGCCGCCTTCCTGCGTTTTACCCACGTGTGCACACTTGACCCCAGGCACAGGTGGCCACTTTTCTCTGCCCCCATCCCCACCATGCTCATCTGGGGTCCCCCTGTGTCCTCTCCAGACTGGGAGAGTCTGAGTCACCAGCTAGGAATGTGCCCGGAGGGGGAAGGGGACACCAGTCAGGGGCACTGAAGGCGCATGCTGCCCCAGGCTCCCGGCCACAAGGGCGGGGGTCCCGAGGTGGGCGTTTGAACATGGGGAACGAAGGGGTGAATGAACTCACGAATAAGGCTGTGCCTGTGCAGGGTGGGGCGCTGGGGCCTCACAAGGGGAGTCGACCTTGCCACTAGCGGCCACAAGCTGATGGCAGGGTGCGAGCACAGGCAGGGCCTGGACGCCAGGCAGAGGCATTTGGCTGATATAACCACACAGCTAGGTGTGCGTGTGTCACCTGGAATAAGCTTTTTGTGGGCCGAGAACACAGCAAGAGAGACAGATTGTAGATCAGCAGCCGTCCTGACCATTAGTTGTTCCTTATGACGCTTTTGTCATCAGGGGGGTTTATTAGTTCTATTCTATGGGCGAGGAAATTGAGGTATAGAGTGGCAGAGTGACTTGTCCCGGGTCACACAGCTAGTGAGAGGTGACCGCTGCTCTCACAGGCTTCCGTGGAATGTGGGGCCCCTGGGCGGTAGAGCAAGGGTGCCCTGTCCCAGGCCAGCCTCAGCACGACCTACTCCTCAGGGGGGGTACTTCCCTGAGAGCGTCAAGGCCATGAGCAGTCTGCGATGGCTGAAGCTAAACCGCACCGGCCTCTGCTACCTGCCAGAGGAGTTGGCCGCCCTGCAGAAGCTGGTAAGAGGCTCTGGGCAGGCAGGGAGGGTCCCTGTGGACGGGGCTGGCCAGGTGGGGAGAAACTGCACAGAACACAGACGTCACAGAGGAGGGTGCTGACCACAGCAGAACTAGTGGAGAGGGAGTGAGTACCCCATCCTGGGAGGTGTGCAAGAAGAGTCTGGGTCTGTGAGGGAGGGAAGTTGCAGAAATGGACTGGGCCTGTGTGGTTGAGGGCCCCCTGGTTGGGGCAGCGTTGTGGTGGCAGATGGGGGCTCCGTGGATGCCCCACCGCCCTGCTGAGCCCCTCTCCCCGTCCCTGCCCAGGAGCACCTGTCGGTGAGTCACAACAACCTGACCACGCTCCACGGGGAGCTGTCCAGCCTGCCGTCGCTGCGGGTGAGTGCCGCCCGGGGCTGCAGACCTCGGGCCAGTACCTCTCTGCACCCGCACTCTGCGGGGGAGAGCATGCAGTAATGCCGGGTCGAGTAACCGTGGGGGAAGCGCTGAAAAACCCCAGATCCCACCCAGTTTGAATAACAAGTACTGTAGCAGTTGTTAGCAGCTGAGCGCTGTTCCAGCTGTTTCACGAGAGCTTCTTATGTGATCTTCACTTCCTCCAAGTTCACAGACGAGGACACTTGGCCACGGAGGCAGGTGGCACAGCTGCAGTGGTAGAGCTGGCGTAGGGCGGGGCTTGGCCAGGAGGGCAGGTGGGTGGGGCAGTTCACTTGGGCCTCTGCTCTCCATGGAGCCCCCATCCCAGACCCTCAGGCCTCTTCGAAGCTTATTCCCATCCAAGGTCGGAGCTCTGAGATGTTAAGGGCACAGCCTCTGGACTCGAGTTTAAATTTGAGCTCTGCCACTTCCCGGCCGCATGACCTTGGACGAGTTCCTTCCACTTTCCGAGATGGTCCAGCAGTGACCACCGAGAAGCAACACGGTGGCACCACACAGACGCTGGGGCTGAGGGAGCAGCAGCGGTGGCTCTTGTTAGTGTTTTTGTCACTTGCAGTCATGGTGCCAGCACCTGGCCTGTCCCCTCCCCACCAGCCATCCTGCACTAACTTCCTGCACTTTGAAAGCGGGAGCAAGTTTCAGCCCTAAGGGGAGAGAAAACGGACTTGCTTTGAGTCTGTGCTCTGACCTGTCTTTGGTCCAGCCGCCTCCTGCACTGGACGCTCTGGCTCAGGGCTCTATCCCTGTCTTGCTGTTTGGGGTTGGGAGGAAGAGGGATTATTCCGTCAGGAGAGGTTCCCTGAGATTCCGTGTGCTGGGCTCTGGGGCACCTTTGAGTTGAGCTTTGAGGTATAAATAGGAGCTCACTGGTGGTCTAGAAAAGGCTTGCCAAGTAGACGATGAGTAAAAGCCAGAGTGGGAGAGCACTCAGGCCTGGCCTTGGTGGACTTCCGGAGGTGGTGTCCCCCCCGATCCCTGTTTCTACTGGGGGGTGGAAGCTAGGAGTCACGGACTCTCATGGTGTATCCCCAGGCCATCGTGGCTCGAGCCAACAGCCTGAAGAATTCCGGAGTCCCCGATGACATCTTCAAGCTGGATGACCTCTCGGTTCTGGTCAGTGGTTATCTGCCACCTGGCCCTCGTGCCAGCCCCACCATTCAGTGCCCACCCACTACACTGGACCCTGGGGCCGTGGTGATCCTGTTCTACAGACGCAGACACCTGAGATGGGGCGGTGCCTTGCCCAAGGTCGCTTATGGAGTCGGATCCCTAACCTAGGCCCCCTTCCGCCCGGGGTCCCACTGTCTCTCTCTGCCCTGAAGCCCCCTCCCCTGCTCCCCTCTCAGTGCCTGTCCTGACCCTCGAGGCCGGCAGAGGCCTGGCAGTGTGGGACCAGCCCTGACCCCCCTGACCTGGCCTCACCCCTCTGCCCAGGACTTGAGCTACAACCAGCTGACGGAGTGCCCTCGCGAGCTGGAGAACGCCAAGAACATGCTGGTGCTGAATCTCAGCCACAACAGGTGCCTAGAGGGCGGGCTGGGTGGTCCGGGGCCTGTCCTGGAGGTGGGAGTGCGGCCCTGACCCGGCAGCCCTTCGCCCGCAGCATCGACGCCGTCCCCAGCCAGCTCTTCATCAGCCTCACCGACCTGCTGTTCCTGGACCTCAGCGAGAACCGCCTGGAGAGCCTGCCCCCCCAGATGCGCCGCCTTGTGCACCTGCAGACGCTCGTGCTCAACGGGAACCCGCTGCTGCACGCCCAGCTCCGGTAGGCGCCCACCTGGCCCTCCCCGCCGGGGCCCCACTGTCAGCCTCGTGCTGCGGGCCCGCTCGGCCCGGGCCCCGGCCCCCGGCCTGAACGCCGCGTCTCCCCACAGGCAGCTCCCGGCCATGACGGCCCTGCAGACCTTGCACCTGAGGAACACACAGCGCACCCAGGGCAACCTGCCCACCAGCCTGGAGGGCCTGAGCCACCTCGCAGGTTGGCAGTCCCTAGGGACCCCTCAGCCTCTCACTTCCTCACAGAGGAGGAGATGGTACCCTGCTTCAGTGAGCATCTCTAGGGGGAAGCGGGTGCGGTTCTGTCACACCTCCTCTCGTTGTCACCGTGATGACTGAGAGTAACACCAAGTTACGAGTAGGCTTTGTGCGTAGACCCCCTTCTCTGAGAAACCAGGAAGTGAGGTTTTGTACCTGAGGCCACAGAGCCAGGAGGGGGAGCTGGGGTTCACACAGGCCTGCCGCCCCTGGAGCCCACCGCAGGGGCCCCGGCTGACACGCCCACCCCACGCCCAGATGTGGACCTGTCCTGCAACGACCTGACGCGGGTGCCCGAGTGCCTGTACACCCTCCCCAGCCTGCGGCGCCTGAATCTCAGCAGCAACCAGATCGCGGAGCTGTCCTTCTGCATCGACCAGTGGGTGCACGTGGAGACCTTGAACTTGTCCCGCAACCAGCTGACCTCACTGCCCGTGCGTTGGGGCCCAGGGAGGGCGGGGAGGCTGCAGGCCGCCCTGTGCCCGCCCCTGACCCGCCCCTGCCCGTGCCGCCTCTAGTCGGCCATCTGCAAGCTGACCAAGCTCAAGAGGCTGTACCTGAACTCCAACAAGCTGGACTTCGACGGGCTGCCCTCGGGCATCGGCAAGCTGTCCAGCCTGGAAGAGTTCACGGCTGCCAACAACAGCCTGGAGCTGATCCCTGAGAGCCTCTGCAGGTGCCAGACAAGGCTGGGCGGGGAGCACGGTGCAGAAAGCCCCAGGATCCCAGCATGGCCCCTCCACCTGCCCCCGTGGTCTTCGTGTGGCGTAGGAAACGGGAGGGCTTGCGTTGGCTTTGCGGGTGCAGTCCCCAGAGCAGTCTTTGGGGGGATTCCAATAGGGATGAGGCCAGAAGGGCTCCACTGCCACCTGCATTTGGGACACAGTGCTGCTTCCGTCCCCTCCAAGAGGTCATAGCGCCCACCAGCATGGTCCCCGGCACTGAGGACGGAGGACCCTCCGCAGCTTCCGGGTTAATTTGAGGGCAGAACGTGTTTTTTTGTTTGTTTGTTTTTTGCGGTACACGGGTCTCTCACTGCTGCGGCCTCTTCGTTGCGGAGCACAGGCTCCGGACGCGCAGGCTCAGCGGCCATGGCTCACGGGCCCAGCCGCTCTGCGGCATGTGGGATCTTCCCGGACCGGGGCACGAACCCGTGTCCCCTGCATCGGCAGGCGGACTCTCAACCACTGCGCCACCAGGGAAGCCCCAAAACGTGTTTTTTGATGCCCTCTTGTTCACACCCAGGGGTCTTTAGTTCTCGGAAGGCCCCTTTGGAAGGTGCAGCCCTGCAGAAGCCGCAGAAAGACCCTCCCGGTCACTTAGCCATGAGGAGACCCCAGCCCCTACCGTCTTTGCCGGCACCTTCAAATTGGCTGGTTTCCTAACTAGCCGGGCTGCTTAGTCTCTCTGGCCCTACTTGCCACCCCAACCCAGGATTGGAAGGCCCCCGGCTCCCCGTCTGTCACCCCCCCTGAGCCCCAGCTATGTCATCACAGGTGCACAAAGCTGAGGAAGCTGGTCCTGAACAAGAATCGCCTGGTGACCCTCCCGGAGGCCATTCACTTCCTGACAGAAATCGAGGTTGGGCAGGCGGCTGGTACTGGGGGGGAGGGAGGAACGGGAGAGGTGTGGACAGACCCCCAGAGAAGACTGAGCAAAGGGCTCCTGGAGGGGTGGCTGGTGCCGGGGTGAGGAGGGGAAGGACACGTCCTGTGTCCACATCACGCTCGACAGCATCGCTTAAGCCTCATAGCCAGCCAGTCTGCGAGGTCACACTTCACAGACGGGAAAGCCCAAGCTCATGAGAGTGGCTGCAGGATGAGAACCTGAGCCTTTTGGCCCCGGGGGTTGCAAAGAGCAGGGGTTTGGGGTGGCCGTGAGGTAGAACTCGGGCTCAGCGCCGGCTCCGCTCGCCCCACGAGGCAGGTCCTGGACGTGCGGGACAACCCCAGCCTGGTCATGCCCCCCAAGCCCGCTGACCACACCGCCGAGTGGTACAACATTGACTTCTCGCTGCAGAACCAGCTGCGGCTGGCGGGAGCCTCCCCTGCCACGGTGGCCGCGGCGGCGGCTGGTGAGCAGGGGAAGGTCTGGCCTGGCAGTGGGGGCTCCTCCCTGGGCCTCAGCTTACCCATCTGTAAATTGGGTGGGATGCGCTTTCTGGATGCGGGGCGTGGGGTTGGCCCCTGGTTGGCTGGACGCCCCAGGCGGGGTAGGGGGCAGCCAGGTCAGCTGTGTACCCCTCCCCTCAGCAGGGAGTGGGCCCAAGGACCCCCTGGCTCGCAAGATGCGGCTGCGGAGGCGCAAGGACTCGGCCCAGGATGACCAGGCCAAGCAGGTGCTGAAGGGCATGTCAGACGTGGCCCAGGAGAAGAACAAGAAGCAGGAGGTGAGCCGGGCCCAGCGGGAGGGGGGGCCCTGAGCTGGGTCGCAGGCGGGCCAGCGCGAGCGGCTGCACAGTCAAGCCAGCGTCCTGCCTGTGATTCCAGGAGAGCGTGGACTCCGGAGCACCTGGGGGCAAGGTGCGGCGCTGGGACCAGGGCCTGGAGAAGCCGCGCCTCGACTACTCCGAGTTCTTCACGGAGGACGTGGGCCAGCTGCCTGGCCTGACTATCTGGCAGATGGAGAACTTCGTGCCCGTGCTGGTGGGGGAAGCCCTCCACGGCAGGTTCTACGAGGCCGACTGCTACATTGTGCTCAAGGTGCGGGGCAGGGGGCCGCGAGGCCCGACCTGGACGGCTCAGAACCGCCCGCTCCCAGCCGTGTTCCGGGGGAGGGTGGGCGGTGAGGTCTCTGCCCGGGAGGCTGCCCAGCAGAAGCCTGGCGGGGGCTGACCCAGACACTGCCCCGGCCTCCAGACCTTTCTGGATGACAGCGGGTCTCTGAACTGGGAGATCTACTACTGGATCGGTGGGGAGGCCACACTTGACAAGAAGGCGTGCTCTGCCATCCACGCTGTCAACCTGCGCAACTACCTGGGCGCCGAGTGCCGCACCGTGCGCGAGGAGATGGGTGACGAGAGCGACGAGTTCCTGCAGGTGTGGAGGGGCGGGGGCGGAGCCAGAGCCAGAGCCGAGGGTCGGTGGGCGGGGCCGACTGAAAGTATCAGGTGCTGAGTGAGCCCCGCGATGGCAGACGGCGGGGACCGATGGGCTGAGGTCAGGGAAGTGGGGCGAGGCCGCCAGTTGGGAGCCTGGGTCAGTGGAGGCAAGTCCTGGCTCAGGTGAGGGTTAGGAAACCCGGCTAGTTTGGGAGCTGGAAACTGGGTGGGTGGTGGTGCAGGAGACCAGGAGGGATGGGGAGCTGGGACTACAAGCTGCCAGAGGGTGGCCCACCGGCTGGCCACGAAGGAGGCGGGGCCGGGGGCAGGGCCAGAGTCCAGGGAGCTGGGTTAGTGAGAGGCGCCGGCCTACCCGCCAGCTGGTTACATGTAGGTACCTACACGAGACCAGAGTTTGGGCCCCTCCACCTGAGTTTGCCTTCTTCCATAAACCCGCCCGGTCCTGTCCCCTGATACGCGCCTGTCTAAGCATATGCTGCGTCCGGACACGAGCAGGCACATTCACGGTTGTGTACATCGTACCACGCCGTGCGCGTTTACGTCTGTAGACGCAGATCTTGTACTTTTAACGTCATCGTGGATTCAGAGCATCTGACTCGACTGCACGCAAGTCCGCCCCTCCTGACAGGTGGCGTTGGGTGGGGGTGGGGGGGACAGCTCGGTGAAAGTCCACATGCCCCGCACGCAGGTATTTGACAACGACATCTCCTACATCGAGGGTGGAACAGCCAGTGGCTTCTACACTGTGGAGGACACGCACTACGTAACCAGGTGAGGGGTGTGTGGGCGGCACTGACCTGCACTCAGCTGGGCAGGATCGGGGGAGGGTACTGGGGCAAATGTGCCCCTTGGTGCCCCCGCCAAGCCACTCTCGCTCTGGCCCTCAGGATGTACCGTGTGTATGGAAAAAAGAACCTCAAGCTGGAGCCCGTGCCTCTTACGGGGGCCTCCCTGGACCCAAGGTGAGCCCCGTGACGGGGCGCTTCACCCCAACCTTCTCCCCACCAGCAGGGGGCGGGGCTTGGCTCTAGACAGAGGCCTTCCAGCAGGAGGTCCTGCAAGGACGGATTTGGGGCGGGGTCAGAGGCATGGGGGCGGTCGTTGCCCGTGGCCAGTGGCAGCCCCTCCCACTCCCTCCTGTCCAGGTTTGTTTTCCTGCTGGACCAAGGGCTGGACATCTACGTGTGGCGGGGGGCCCAGGCCACGCTGAGCAGCACCACCAAGGCCAGGTAAGAGGACTGTGACCTGCCCAGACGGGCCGGGGTGTACTGTGCAGAGGAAAACTGTCACCCAAGGAGGAGGCGTGGGCTTCATCACTAAGGCTTCGCACCCGCCCTCAGGCTCTTTGCAGAGAAAATTAACAAGAACGAACGAAAAGGGAAGGCGGAGATCTCGCTGCTGGTACAAGGCCAGGAGCCCCCCGAGTTCTGGGAGGTGCTGGGCGGGGAGCCCCCCGAGATCAAGAAGCACGTGCCCGACGACTTCTGGCCACCCCAGCCCAAGCTGTATAAGGTAAGCCGGGGGTGCGGGGCTGGCCTGACTGCACTGGCGGTCAGGCGGCGGCTGCGGTCTCCTTCGGGACCTCGGTGGGGAGAGGGTGCCACCTTCTGGGCAAGGAGTAGCTCAGCACGGGTCTGAGGCTGGCTCTGAGTGGGGCCGGGGGCACTGGTGTTGCGCTCTGTGCTTCCGGGGAAGGCGGGGCTGGAGAGGGAGGCCAAGAAGCACATGGGTGCCAGGCCTGGGGACCCGGCCTTCGTGCTGTAGGTGACAGGAAGGTGGGCGTGTTGTGGGCAGGAAGAGGACAGGTTAGAGAAACCCGGAAGGACCTGGAGACGGCGGGCAGGGAAGGCACCATCTATCAGCCCTTCTTCCGCTGATAGGATTTTCTAGAAAGCATCTTGGGGTGGAGGGAGGAAGCCAGCCCGGAGAGGAGCAAGCTGTAGACCTGAGTGCAGGGGCCAGCCTGAAGCAGGGGCTGTTGTGGCCGGGGCTCGTGTTCCCCAGACCCAGCCTGGTTAAGCCCACCTCTTGCTCCTGCCAGGTGGGCCTGGGCCTGGGCTACCTGGAGCTGCCGCAGATCAACTACAAGCTTTCTGTGGAACATAAGATACGGCCCAGGGTGGAACTGATGCCTGGGATGCGGCTGGTGAGACGCGAGGGAGGAGGGCGTGGGGGCTGGATCCCTTCTTGCTGGTGGCCCTGGTCTTGACCTCCAGCCTCCGGGGCCCCGCAGCTGCAGAGCCTGCTGGACACGCGCTGCGTGTACATCCTGGACTGTTGGTCCGACGTGTTCATCTGGCTCGGCCGCAAGTCCCCGCGCCTGGTGCGTGCTGCCGCCCTCAAGCTTGGCCAGGAGCTGTGCGGGATGCTGCACCGGCCGCGCCACGCCGCGGTCAGCCGCAGCCTGGAGGGCACAGAGGCGCAGGTGTGCGATGCGGCGCCCCCGGAGGCCGCCTCCCCGAGATCCCGCGGGCGCGTTATTGCCCTGACCCTCTGTGGACCGGTTGGTTACCAAGCTCCACAGCTTCCCGGGCCCTGCCCATGCCCCGCCCCCCCCCCACTCCTAGTCCCCCTAGGTTGCTAGGCCACACCTCTGCCAATTCCTAGGCGCCGCCGCCGCCCCCTCCCCCCCTTCCCCAGGCCCCGCCTTCTCTGTCTCCTACTCCAGCTGTGCCTTCTCAGGTGTTCAAGGCCAAGTTCAAGAACTGGGACGATGTGTTGACCGTGGACTACACGCGCAACGCAGAGGCTGTGCTGCAGGGCCCGGGGCTCGCGGGGAAGGTGAAGCGTGACGCCGAGAAGAAAGATCAGATGAAGGCCGACCTCACCTCGCTTTTCCTGCCGCGGCAGCCGCGCATGCCTCTGGCGGAGGTGGGCGCGGGGCGCGGGGCGCAGGGCGGGGTGGGGCGCGGGGCGCAGGGCGGGCTGGGCTGCGCTGTCCCACCGTGACGGGTGGGGTCGCACGCAGGCGGAGCAGCTGATGGAGGAGTGGAACGAGGACCTGGACGGCATGGAGGGCTTCGTGCTCGAGGGCAAGAAGTTCACACGGCTGCCCGAGGAGGAGTTTGGCCACTTCCACACGCAGGACTGCTACGTCTTTCTCTGCAGGTGCCCCCCCCGGCGTGCCCCTCTCGCCCCCCCCCCCCA